TTTTACTGTGGATAAATAAATATTGTAACTCTGGGCTCTGCACTCCTCTTCTCCCATTTACTAAACAGACCATATGATGAGGAGGAAAACCTCGTTATGAATATTGACTATGTACAGGAACATAACTGTAAATGTTGCATATTTGAAGATGTAAATTATTTAAAACGGGAACCATTGAGGTCTGACTCAAAATTAAACAAAGAGCTATTACATGTATTATAATATTTATTACAATTTCACTTACAAACAAAATATATCAGCAATTTTGTACAAGATAAGTTTTATGTCAGACTGATAGACAGACAGATAACTTTCATATTGTATGGGTTTGTCTGTCAGTACACAATAGGAAGTGGGTGTATCCCCCAAGGCAGCAGATATCTTGTTATGAAAATTAATTGCATGTTCTCAAAATTAAAGTCTTCAAATTAGTGGACTTAAACAATACAAAAAAGTATTCATTTGTTTGGTAAACTCTTAAAAGAGAAAATACTGTTATAATTGTAATTATTTTTAAATGCTTTAGGGGGGCGTGCAGCTTAAAGTAAATTTTTCTGTTATTTACTGAAATGAATGTATAATAAATATGTTTTTATATGTAGACATAATAAAATGTTACGGAAACATATACTATTCTTCAATTTTAAGTAGGATTTTAACCGTTTAGCAATGATATTTCATCAGGAAAATTACGAACAGCCAAGATATAGCTTTATTAACTGAATGCTTAGATAAATACGATAAATATTGTATGTGTATATAATATTTTTGTGAAAACTAATTGTGAGATATGTTCATTGATTATCGCCATAACTCAGGAAAATTACCTAAAGATCAAAATCTAAGATTAACTTGAATAGTGTTGATAAGCTTTTCAATTTTGGTAGTAGCCCACATACGCTGTCTCGAGTTATTTTATGAATGTTTTCAAATGAATAATTCCATAATTGAACAGCTACTTTTTGCCATTTCTTTTTATCAAACTACAACTAACAGATAATTATGTTCGATGCATATGTGAATAGTTTTTAGCTCGACTATTCGATAAGAATAAGTAGAGCTATTGCAGTCACCGGAGCGTCGGCGTAACCACTTATGTTAAAGTTTTTGTAATAGTTCAAATATTTTCAAAGTCCATTGACATATGGCTTTGAAACTTTGCACACTTGTTCACCATCATGACCCCAACCTGTAGACAGGAGAAGGTAACTCTATCAAGCATTTTGACAGAATTATGCCCCTTTTTCGACTTAGAATTTACGTTAAAGTTTTTGTAATAGTTCAAATATTTTCAAAGTCCATAGACATATGGCTTTGAAACTTTGCACACTTGTTCACCATCATGACCCCAACCTGTTGACAGGAGGAGGTAACTCTATCAAGCATTTTGACAGAATTATGCCCCTTTTTCGACTTAGAATTTACGTTAATTTTTTTGTAATAGTTCAAATATTTTCAAAGTCCATTGACATATGGCTTTGAAACTTTGCACACTTGTTCACCATCATGACCCCAACCTGTAAACAGGAGGAGGTAACTCTATCAAGCATTTTGACAGAATTATGCCCCTTTTTCGACTTAGAATTTACGTTAAAGTTTTTGTAATAGTTCAAATATTTTCAAAGTCCATTGACATATGGCTTTGAAACTTTGCACACTTGTTCAACATCATGACCCCAACCTGTAAACAGGAGGAGGTAACTGTATCAAGCATTTTTTTTACTATCAAGCACTAAGAATAGTCGAGCGTTGCTGTCCTACTGACAGCTCTTGTTGTTTCTAGTTTACAAGAAATTGACAGTCAACGGTGTCTTTGTCCTATCATCAGGAGAACTTAGTTTTCTCTACTTTAGATGGAATTTAAACGCTTGTTATTAATCAGATGATGATGATGATCATACTTTGTTGATTAAAATATAATTATAAAGTATATTTTGAAATATCAAAAGATGTGACGTTTGCTATATTTTGTGAATTTCTTGTTTTGCATGGAAATTAAAAAATCAAAGTTTTTTATTATGTGTTTTCTCCAATTTTTATCCCCTATGAAAGCTGTAAGATATTTATTTGCCGTGTTCCTTTCTTCCGTTGATCTTACGTTCATACGTCACAAGTTTGGGCATTAAACTAAAACTGTATCAGCTCTATTTGTGGTTAAATCACATTGTGAAAATAGCAGTGTCCACAAATCTTTGACAACAAATCATAACTCTTGCACAATTTAAGAGTGTTGCCCTTCGAAATTTTTCATACCTAAATTTTCTTCGGGGCTTAATTCAAATGCAGAAAGAACTGAGATAGTACTAAAATTTCACAAATGGATAGCTCTTATTTAGGAGACGTGCATTTCATAAGAACAATATATATTATAAAAGTATGTTTTTAGCAATTGTCTTTGATAATGTTTTATACATTTCCTTTTTCTGAGGCATATCTAAAATGTTTTGGATGTATCAATTAATCAATTATTAACCCCACAAATGGATAACCAATAAGAAATGTTTATCGTTAACGATTTTAAAACACTTAACAGTTTATAATCACAGTATTTTATATTTGTTTGGTCCTTCATGATCATTTATACAAAGTGTTGAAGACTGAGTACTCCGTAAGGATGTACCCAGCTACGGGCTTGACATACGCTGCAAATCCGAATATACACATAAACTGAGCCTGCGATTTGCATATGTTTAGTTTTCGTTCTCATAGTTGTCAAAGGATATCCCTATCCCAGATTGTTCTACAAAGTAAGGGTCCGTTTGTTGTATTGCCTCTAAACACTTTGACAAATTTTTGGTTCTCCTTGTCGAGGCTTTAAGTATCTGTAGAACTGTATCGCCTTTCTTCGTCATCATACGCACATCTATTTGCTGCATCTTCAATAGTTCGACGATGATATCATAATTTGCTGTTTTGCATGCAAGGTGAAGCGGGGTGTATCCGCTTTTGTCTGGTAGATTGACGATAACTTGTTGCCGATTACTCAGTAGCTGGACAATCTCCAAATCTTCTTTGTAAACAGCCGCATGTAATGGTGTATACCCATTTTTCTCAGATACATTTGGATCTGCAACATCCAGAAGCAACTGAACGAGTGCAGTTTTTCCATATACTGCTGCAAGATAAAGGGCCGTCCTTCCATATTTATCTTTCATATTAGGGTCAACACCAACCTCTTTCAGAACTTGCAATATGTTTTGGTTATCTTTAACTACAGCTATATGATACAAAGACATGCCCTTTGAAATGGGCTTAAAATTATGAGACATTTGTGAAGCTCCGGAAGAAATGTCCTTTTCAAGAATTTCTTTCAATATTTTGGAATGTCCAAGAACAGCCGCTGATTGACACGGATAGTCATTTTTATGGTCGCGTATATTGACATCTGCCCCCTTGTTAAGTAATAGTTGCACTAAATCGGTATGTCCCATGTCTGCTGCAATGTGCAAAGGTGTTCGCTGAAACTTTCCACCGTTTACATTCACAACCGCCCCATGGTTTAAAAGCACGCGGCATATTTCTACTTGGTTCCATATCACAGCTTTATCAAGAGCAGATACATTATTCTTGTTTCTATAATTGACAGCAACACCACTCCTGAGCAGGCATTCCGCAAGGTCGACATAACCTCTTTTAGCTGCTGTGATTAATGGACTATTTCCATGTTGAATATGTGAAGGGAAATCAGATCCGTTCTGGTTCTGTAACAAAAAGTCTAACATTTCTAAATCTTCATTGACCGTTGCTATTTGTAAGGCATCCTCATTTCCTTTCATACTATGACGAACTAGTTTCTGTACTAAACCTTTGTTTCTATCTCTCGTAGCTAGCAGCAAAGATATATATTTTTCATTTTCATTCAGAACTGACCTATTTAGACATTCTTGAACCAAAAGATCATTTCTACTTGCCAAAAGGATAGATGGCAGACACATTCCCATTTCATGTTCGTCAAACTTGATGCAAAATTTAGTCTTCAATATTTCAAATGCGTAGACTAGTGAATTATTTACACGTTTGTCCTTTCCTCCTTTCACCCATAAGTTTTCGACAAACTTTTTAATGAAATCCATATTGTAGAATGCGTCATGTTTAAGTACTGAATTGTTCATCAGGAAGTGTGAGCACATCTTTGTATTTTCGATCCCGTCATATTTAACGAGAGGTTTAATAAAGAAATCATTGCCAAATAGGAATTCTTGTGTATCATCTTCTGCCATATGTAACAATTGGTAAAACTTCTCAACGAGCCCATTGAATTGGTATTCTTCAATATAAATGATCAGGTCGTCTTTGCAACAAGGTAAGGTCTTGACGTATTTCATTATGAAATCTTTAGATGCATGCTTTAAAATCGCGTCAACATATTCTCTTGCACAAACAATTCCAACTACATCACTTATCACACTATGACTGAACGAGTATTCACCTGTCTTAGTACTAAACACTAGAAATTCGTCCCTATGGCTCTCCAAGCATTTCTTTATTTCTTTTGTCTTCTTATGAAACGGATACCCAAATTCTTCTCCTAGCTCCTGTAATTGTTTTTTTATTATCACCAATATTGAAATTGTTTATCGCTAATTTCCCTGGTGTCTTTACCCAAACAAGAACCAATGGCATAAATTCGTCTTCATCCTTGGAAATGTCTCGAATACATTTTTGGAAAAACTCGAGAGGGGAGGAAAAGAATTCAATACCCTTGTTGAACAAAATATCTGAAGATGCAAAAATGGACGCGCATTCTGGAAATCCAACAGTGAGCACTTTGTTTGATGTCCTGGTAACCCTTTTCCACTGTGTTTCAATTGATTCATACATGTATGAATTCATTTCAATTTCCCTTTCGTTTTTTATAAGATGTGATTTCAGAATGTCGTACTTCTCCTCGGGAGATAATCTGGAAGAAAATAGAATGGTGACATTTTCCTCATTGAACATATCAGCTTGATTATGTATTTTTTCTTTCGCTTCTTGCATTATATAATGGCGAGTAGTTATCACAAATGACACTTTTTTTTATTAGCTGCACTTCGTATGTCACTAAGGAAATATTGCCACTTTTTAAACAGAGTTTCGTCCAGTACAGCATTTCCAAATATATCGTCAATCAACACAGCTGTGTAAACACCTAAATCTACTAATCTCCAATCTTTCGGGCTAGTTAACCGTAAGAGTTTACTTTCATGAGCCATTTCCATTAACAGACAGTTCGCCATTACAGTTTTTCCATCTCCTGGATGACCACTAAGTATAGCTATTCCCGATGTTTGAAGTTGTTGGCTGGCTTCTTTGTAAATATTAGTTCTAACATAATATTCCATTTTGCCTTTCGCATCATCAAAATACATCTGTGATGAATCTAAAATGTATCAGTCCAATGATTAGAAACAAATTTAGGTACAATAAATTAATTATCTCTATAGACAAAGGCAAATGTGGTTTGTGATCGCATTCTATATACCCTTAAGCATATCATTTATTTGGTTCAGTTCGTTCTTCATGCATTATTTCACTCAGGCCGCTTTTCATGGAATGGACCATTTAATGTTTAATGATCAATGCCGTTTGAATTGTGGATTCATTCCACCATTTTCATATTTAAATGTTCAGTTCTGCTTAAGCTGGTATTAGGAGGAGCGAACATTAGCTTCTACCTACCCCTACCGTCAATTAACAGAGATTGCATCATTCTTAAATTTGCCGTTTTTGGACGATCTTCAGGATTACATTTTTTATAACATGAAGTATTTTTAGGAAGGACAAAAGATCATTTAGTTTGTTACAGATGTGAGAATTAAATATATAAGAAAATAGTCTTTGTCTATACAAGGATGATATCATAATCACAAAATTGACACTATTCATGACACAGTATGCATGTACCACATATATGCACAATTAGAAAAATAATACAAACTGTTAATTTTATAGCAGATATTACAAAGAAGGTCATACCATGAAGATGTTTCTGTTCAGGTGAACTGAAGTGTTCTGAAAAAGGAAATTTCTTTTTAATCAGTATCGCATAACTCATCATGCAGATGCTTAATTACCAAGACTGATGTAAAAACAAAAAGCGTCCGCATGACACTATGTATAACATGTACAGCAAATTGCCTCAAGTTATGCAGGTTTATTGTGCTTACATTGTTTTATGACAAATAATAATTCTACATTTCTTTTAAGCCAGTTGTGTTACTGTTATTCTACTAATTTATGTTGATATTTTAAAAGAACAAGAGGGCCATGATGGCCCTGAGGTCGCTCACCTGTATATAGGCCCCCCCACCCCCGGGCCAATTTTTACCCAAGGGCTTTTATTTGTTTATTTGAACAGACTTGGTAGACACCCATAAGAAGATGTTTCATGCTAAACATCTAAGTTCTAGCTCATTGGGTTTTTTAAAAGAAGATTTTTAAAGTTTTTACTATACACATATAGTTAAAAACAATGACACCCCTGGGGCAGGGCCAGTTTTGACCCCCGGGCTTTTATTTGAACAAACTTTGTAGATATTTACTTAAAGATGTTTCATGCTTAATATCTAAACTCTAGCTATTTGGGTTTTTTCAAAGAAGATTTTTAAGTTTTTGCTATACACATATAAGGAAAATCGATGACCCCAGGGCTTTTATTTGAACAAACTTGGTAGACATTCACTAGAAGATGTTTCATGCCAAATATCTATGCTCTAGCTCTTATGGTTCTTTAAAAGAAGATTTTTTAAGTTTTTACTATATGCATATAGGGAAAATCAATGACCCCCCGGGGTTGGGCCAATTTTGACCACAGGGCTTTAATTTGAACAAACTTGGTAGACACTCACTAGAAGATGTTTCATGCTTAATATCTTAGCTCTAGCTCTTTGGGTTCTTTAAAAGAAGAATTTTTAAGTTTTTACTATATGCATATAGGGAAAATCAATGACCCCCTGGGGCGGGGCCAATTTTGACCCCAGGGCTTTTATTTGAACAAACTTGGTAGACATTCACTAGAAGATGTTTCATGCTTAATATCTAAGCTCTAGCTCTAACGGTTCTTTAAAAGAAGATTTTTAAGTTTTTACTATATGCATATAGGGAAAATCCATGACCCCCGGGGCGGGGCCAATTTTGACCCCAGGGCTTTTATTTGAACAAACTTGGTAGACACTCACTAGAAGATGTTTCATGCTAAATATCTTAGCTCTAGCTCTTTGGGTTCTTTAAAAGAAGATTTTTTAAGTTTTTACTATATGCATATAGGGAAAATCAATGACCCCCTGGGGCGGGGCCAATTTTGACCCCAGGGCTTTTATTTGAACAAACTTGGTAGACACTCACTAGAAGATGTTTCATGCCAAATATCTAAGATTTTTTTTCGGTTGCCATGGCAACCAGAGTTCTGCATGGAATTAAATTCTTTGAACAATTTTTAAAGGTGACCACCAAAGGAACATTCCTGTGAAGTTTGGATGAAATTGGCTCAGTGGTTTATGAGGAGATGTCATTTAAAGCAAAAGTTTACGGACGGACGCCGGACGGACAGACGGACACCGGACGAAAAGCGATCACAAAAGCTCACCCTGTCACTTTGTGACAGGTGAGCTAAAAAGTCATCTTGCCAGAGCGTCTTGAGGCGGGGCTGTGGCTTTAGCTCCCTTAGTACATCCCCGATGAACTGCAGCTGAGTTTATAACTATACTAACAAGTTATTAGCACGAAAATGGAACTACATTGCTTTATCTGTTTTTATAAATTCATACTACACTTAAAAAGTGAAGCTACGACATACATTTTGAAAATGGCTTTAATGTAAGTATTGTAATTTACCACAATAAATGATAGTATAACTTACTGTTTTGAGGAACGTTTTTTACTTCCTTGATAACTTCATCCTGTTTATCCAACATTTCTGTCCATTGTTGCCTGTTCTCTACGGAGAGGGTTTCAATGTTTGCACTAAGATCTTTTATTTCGTTTGCCATGATTTCTATATCTCTAGTTTGTGCACTGTCCATCTGCTGCCATTTATCTATCTCTTGCTGGTAGCGTTTATCGGCTTCCTCATCCAGTGGGGCTGTTTTCATATTGTCCAGTTCTAATTGAAGATTTGGTACACCATTTTGAAGATGAGAATTAAGCCTTATCAGAACCTGTAAGTAGCATAAGAATAATTATAAAGTTATCACGTTTGTCGGGTACTGTTGCAACATTTTCAATTTTGCCGTTTTGGGCTTTCTTTAGGGATTCTTATTTCTCTATTCAATAAGATCATGTCGGTTGCACAGCAATGTCGATGTCTATTGTAAAGCGATATTATTTCACAGTTAAATGAGTTAATATAATATATTGCTATATACGAAAGCCGAATTGTTTTGGAAGTAATTATTATAATTCTTTTGTAACAATATTGACTTTTACGAGACTACTTTCTTGTAATAATGAGAAATAATTTGTACTTGTTTCAGTTTTTTTATTTGTTTATCTGTTGTTTTTTTTATTATTCAAGTGACACTATGCCGCTGTCTTAGCTTTATGGAATAATAGAAAAGTTGTTCATTTAAAGCCAGGTCTCGTTGCACACTTAAACAATGCAAGCCTCACACATTTCTGCTCAACTCAAGGATCTTCATAATTATGACTGTATTATTTTGTATTTTAATGTTCAGAATCTGCTAAAAATGATATGCTAAATGAAATGTTCTATCATGTAACTAGTATTTATGGATATTTTTGTTTAAGTATAATATTACAATTATTTACAATGATAATGAATATACCTGCACTATGTCTGTCCATTTCGTGTTGAAGTCGTTTTCTGTTAATGCAGATGTTGAAGCTGTATGAGCGAACTAAAAAGAAATCCCTTTTTATTTATTTGTAATGCAACACATGTGTCTTATAGAATATTAATTATATTTACTTTCCCTAAACTATTAAGTGTTTTTAAACTGTTCATTCATTTGAAAGTTGGGGCGTCCATGGCCGATTGGTTAAGGTCTTTGACTTCAAACCACTTGCCCCACACCGCTGTGGGTTCGAATCCCGACAGGGACTTTGGATTCTTTCATGTGAGGAAGCTAGCCAGCGGAAGGGCACCTGATATATTCCTCCACCAGTAAAGCTGGAACGTCGCCAAATGACCTACACTGTGTCGGTGTGACGTAAATCCCAATCAAACAATCATTTGAAAGTTACATTGTATTCATCAGTTAAGTACACAAGTGAATTATAAATTTTATACTAAAGTCTTGTATCAAATGAAATTTAGGGGTTTTACCTCATTACGATATCCCCTGAAACGCACCAGGTCTGCTTCAATGGAGAAATCAGTCGGTGCCGGCGGTGTTGACCAGCATGGATCGGTGCTACTTTTTAACCCACAAATATTCCGTAGCAAACAAGATAGTAAGGAAATATCAAAACTTGCTGATGTCGGGGCATTGGGTGACAGCAACAAATATTATTGTTTGTTGATGATGTTTCTCTTTGACAGAACCGCTAATGTTCCCTGGTGTTGCTTCAGACATGCTGCCAGAGGAGATGCTTTCTCGTCAAAGATTTTTCTGAGAACCATTGTCCCGCCGTCGACCAGTAAGGCTTGAATCCGCAAGTAATACATCTTTTTTCCTGTGTTCATTTTTATTGAAGATCTGTCATTCGAATTAAACCCATCTCGCATTTAATAAATATTTTGATGGCATCCACCCTGAATAATGAAATATGTAATTCGAGTTCAGTTTTCCTTGTGATCTGAAAATGAAATACTCATCCTTGAAGAAAAACAACAATTATATAAATAATTATTTTTTAAACATGGACAAATGCACTAACTATGCATGTCCTTTTAAAAGGCTATACGTGTATCATTTGCGTTTTTTTCTAAATAATTAAATAATTTAAACACAATTTTGAACTCAGATATCAACGTATATGTAATGTTTGTTTTATGATATTCAGAAAAATCCACACGACTTTATCAAAAAATAAACACACTTGCAAACTTATCTCGTTGTAAAAATGTATACACAAATATTAGTGTATGCTAGAAAAAATGTTATTTCCCTATACTTCATGTACAATAAAAACACAACATAAAAATGCCAAGTTGTACAAATAATAAATTTAACAATTTTGACAAAAACTTTATCTGATAAGAGATCACGCGAAACATGTTTATCGTATACTAGTCATTTTTAGATATATATATATATATTTTATCTTTGTTATTGATTTATAATGGGTAGACCCGATAAGCTATGTTATATAGTACTCGTATAGCTATCTCTTGAGATATTGTTAAATCAGGCATATACTTTTTACTTATATGTATGTTATGTTTACACTGGAAAAAGACACACAGTTTGCAAAATTAAAATGATAAATATCATTTATTCTTAACTTTTCTCTGTTACCAGTGTCACGAATACTGAAATGTTATTCTTGTTTTATATATGACCAATAAAGTTATGGTTTAAGCGGTAGCAAAATTAAGAGTTATACATAGGATAAAGCAGACTATTTCAAAATACAAAATGGCGACTGCACCGCCAATATTATGTAAACAATCCCTGACCGTTTCGGTTACATACATGAAGTATACACGATTAAACACAGAAATGACGGAAAGTAGCATTTTATTAAAAAATTGTCCAGTTTTCTTACCAAACGAAAAACAATTAGAAAAAAACAGACAGGAATCATGAGGGTATTCAGTGTAATAGGACGTATACATTGCACCCAGACTAATCATTTATAAACGCTTAACTAAACAATCCTATGGCAAAATCTAGTTTCTTTTTTGATTTGGGGCATTTTTTTATTTCACAGTGCAATACAATTAACGATAATTATTCGATATATTTCATTTCATAAACATAAATACCTTTAGATTGTTTGATTAATCCATCTTATGTCCTTTTAGTTTGTTATTTTATCAGTTCAACATTTTATCAGTATTTTGCGGGGAAACCCCTTATTATCTGCCGAACGTTTTTGGTTGGATTGGTTTTTTACAACGTAGGTTAAATACAATGATAGTGGTCTTATTACTTTATTATATGATAAAACATAAATCACAATATCAAGTCAGCTTAGAGATATAATATCATGCACTGTATTTCTAAACATACCGTTAAATTATATTTTCATTATACTCCTTTCAAATTTCAACTTTTTTTATTAAAAAAACTATTTCATTTTGTGAATTTAAGACACATTGACCTAGTTTTTAAAGTTGTTTTGGCTTTATTTGATAGCGTACATTCGTGTTTTATTGTATAAATTCAATTTCATACTGAAATAGTATTTTGGCAAACAGTATTACTCACCTCAACTCAACTCTTTTATTTCATAATCAAAGGCCTCCGGCCCAAAATATATATCAAACAATTAGGCAGCATTTGTATAAGGTTATGTCAATAGTATATCAGTATTTATGACATTTACTAAAGACAATGTTGTTTTCTTCTTTTTTACCAAACTGAAATCTGACCCCCAAGGGGGCAGAACCGTGCACTCATGGTATTGTTACATGTTCTTGTATTCTAATTATAGTGTTAATGCAACTACGCTTAGTTTTATAAAAAGAAATCTTATTTAAGAGACAAGTTATATATGTTTTCGATTTATCCAATTCATGATGTTTTAAATTAAAATTAGTCTTTTTGTTTGAGTATTTATATATTATGAGAAAATTAAAGAAAGATTACATAATTTTCTTATATTTTTGGTAGCAAAAATTTGATTATTTAAATATATACTTGATATTCTTTGCAGCAAAAACTAATACCAAGGCAGTGTTATTATTAACTTTCGACGATATTTATATCGCTAAAACAAGACAATCTCGCGAGGTCCGGAGTGCTCGGTGTGCGTAATTTAGTCATATCGGAGAATGTCACAAAAAGCGATATTTTCTAGCGCGATCAGTGTACAAGTCAATGCACATGTTAAGTGATTGTGCAGCACGGTCGTGTGTGATTGGGGACTATTAAAAGTACATCAGGGTTCACTTCATAATACAGATACATATATGTTTTATACTGTAACAGATGTAATAAAAACATTTTCATTAATTTCTTTAATATCTTTTTTTTTCAAGTATTTACAAGTAATTGCATAGTTTAATCTATATTTTTTTTATAATATTTTGATTTTATTATGTAAAAAACTGATACTTATTGCATGGAAAAAATGGATCCCTTAATTCTGTTATTAGTCCAATTCTAATAAAAGGTAAACCTAACCATGAAATTGTACTCCTTGCTTTTAAAAATGCAATGCTGAAGCAAATTGTCTTAACAGAAAAATGAAATCATTACATATCTTGGAATCACATGACGTTTGATATTATTTCACATTACATGTCTCACTCCTTTCACCCTTATGTCCGCTCCAGTTTGTTTTTAAGTGTGTCGGGGGCCGCGTCCTGTGAACGTTGCTTTTGCCTTTTTATTTTTACATTGTTACTTTATTCTTTTTTTTTCTCTCTTTTTGTTGTTGAGTTGACGCGTAATGAGAACTTAATATTTACGTGTTTTATAGCCGTGAATGTACAAGGGGAACATAATTAGTTCGCAGAATTGTTTTATTGCTAATACCTGGGATACACGCGAAAGTACAAAACACAACACGTGATACGTTGACTCAAAACGGATATATATCTCAAATATTATTTAATTATAGATATTGAACCAAAAAGTTTTCAAGGAACGTTGAACAACAACGTTATGTAGTACTTGAGCCACGCCGACGGACGTCAACTTTGAGCCACCCTGTCGTTTACCTACACGTCAAAATCTACACGTGATAACACGCGGAAAATTCTCGGACATTTTGCTTGGGTTTGGGTATTGGGTATTATTTTGCTGTAAAGAAGTCCCGCCAAACTAATGTAAAAACGGATCTGCTACGGAATCAGACGAATTGTGTTTTTACGGTTGGCTCGAGGAAATGGTGCATTTTACTATTTTTTTATTTTATGAATTAAGACATTTTATATAACTCAACATTTTTTAAATAATTTAACATTTTCACATTAAGAATAATTATTATTCTGGAAAAACGGAGTGAGCGAATGATACAAATTATTGGAATAGACCTACATAAAATGGAATAATAGTCTCGAAATATTATTTCAAGCCCCGTCATGTAAAAATAAACAAACAAAAAAGAAAACACTTTAAGTTCCTTTAAATTTACATTCATGTCCCTTATCTTGAAAGTGAAAATAAGTCGTTTTTACATTTATATAAATTTTTATGTGCTTTGATAAAGAAGTAATGTTTTTTAATTGTTAAGAATAAATCGAGAAGCCCTCGTACTTTAAGACTTAATATGACTTTTTCCAAAGTAACCCATTGTTTTGTACTGAAGAAATGTTGTTATTTAAACATCAAGAAACAGATAAACGTGATATTGAGCCTGATCTAGAAACTGCTGACAGAATAATTTGTACCTTTCTATGTACGTATTGCCAACAAGCAATAGATGAAAAAGAACGTTCCATTAATTGGCCAATGAGTATTTTTTTGTATATTATAAAAGTACACCAAAGTTAAAATGTTTTTGAGAAATAAGAAATAAAAGCATTTATGAGCCATCACGGATATTTAATGCACGTTTTTCCGAGTTTTATAACTGCAGGTATAAAACTAGCGGTATGATTAAACTCGACTCTTTTTATAACAAGAAGAAATATTAACTTTCAAAGAAGAAATATTAACTTTCGAAAATAAATCTTTGAAAGCAGTCTTGAAATATTTGATACCATAACTCGGTGTTTTGCTCTGACACGTCAAAATAGTTTTTTTCAAGACGGGGCTCAACATAATTTGGTTGTTAGAAAAGTCCAAGGAAGAGATTTAAGAGTAGAAAATATCATAAACTTATTCTAGTACTTTGCAAGCCCATCATGTGAAGGTTTAGATTATCAATGATGTTTTTTTTGTATTCAATCAGGTACTGGTAAAAAAAAAACGGACAAATTATTTAATATCCTGGAAATACTTTAAGTTAATTTCTTTATTTCAGTTTCATTTTGTACAGAACATTAACATAAATACAAAAAACATAAACATACCTTATAATTATATATATATTATATATAATTTCAGTTTATTTTTTATTACAGTTTAATCTCTTAGACTACATAAACATAAATAGCACATAAATGCAAAGACCATTAACATATTTAGCTATTCTAAACATAATCGAAATGCATTTTTGATTAAGAAGAATAAAATTTATATCTACAAAGTAGTATTTTAAGTACAACAAACATACACATTACCCCATTTTTGTATATTTAGATATAAAAGGTGAATATTGAAGTGTTACCCTACATTCTTGCATAAAGTCTGCACAGACAGGTTTAACATTATCGGAGAGGAAAACATAACAAGGAATAAAACAATTAAGCAAGCACGCACCGTTGTTGCACATTTTTTTTAGAATGATAACATTGGTCAAGAATGTAGACAAACATTTTCTTAATAAAAAGCAAAGTTTTATGACCTTACCCACTGTAAACAATTGTTTTATCAGGTATTAGCTTGTTAATGATATATCCATTTTGCGTATGCGCAATAATTAACATAGCCAGCATCCCAATGAATACATTTACATTTTGTAGAGTATACATATGTTATTTCACTATTTTGTGAGTCTATTTGATTATTACAACTCCAAACAACAAAACATATATAAATAAGCATCAATATAAAAAATTAATTACTTTTAGAGCCAATTGACCCGAAGGTGCCAGACGCATTGATTTTACAAAACATATGTTTGATCTTGTTATGAATGCAAAATAAAAAAAAACATCCATGCATTGTTGTTACATTGTTTTGTACAAGGAATGTAGCATCCAAATACGTACATTATTGGTACATCTAGTCTTGTGTTCTGAATTACTCCTATTACGTATGTATCAGAACAAATATGATTGGAAAAATTATAAAAAATATATTGTTTTGATTTTCTACCTAAAAGAATTTACATTATTACTTACAAATGTAATATTGTTATAATATTAATTGCTAAACTAAATAATAACAAATGTTATAAAATGTAAATCTAATGTTTTGATATTGATGCAAAAAAAAAAACCTGACACAAAAAGCAAAAATAGACACGTCCCTGAAGTAGACGTTTACAGCTGACATAAAACATGAATCAGTTATTAGAAATATAAATGTGAGACTATTTTGTAAATAGTGAATGAGAATAATGTATACATCATGTAAATAAAGTTAGTTGACACGAGAATACAGAAGTATTACAAACACGCCATATATTTAATATATGCCGGAAAAGTCATGAATATATTTTTAAAAAAATATTTTTATTTATAAATTTTAATTTAAAGGGTTTTTAAATTTTGAAATTTGATTTTTTTAAAAATTTAAATTTTTGGGGAAGGAAAAGGGTTTAACCAAATTTTTTCCAGAAATTGTTATGTTTTAAACAATTTTAAACAGGGCCCAATTTTAAAATTTTAAAACCCCAAAAATTCCAAGGGGCCCCACAAATTAAAAAAAAAAAAAATTTTAAAAAATTTTTTTTAAAAATTTTTTAAAAAAACGTTTTTTAATTTCCTTTTTCCCTTTAAAAGCCCCATTTTTTTAAAAATAAACCCCGGGGTTTCTGGTTTTTTGCGAAAACCCAAAAGATATTTAAAAACGTTATCTTTGGGGAAAATTTCTTTACAAATTCCTGTTAAAATGACAGGGTTTAAATTTTTGGGAAGGGTTAAATTAAAAAGGTAAAAAACTTTTTTTATTTTTTCTGAAAATTAAAAATTTTAAAATTTAAAAAGGATTTTTGTCAAAATTTCCCTGGGAAAAAATGGGGGGGGAATTCTTAAAAAACAGGAAAAATTCCAAAAAAAAATTTCCCCTTGGGAGGTTTTGGGCCCGGAAACCCCTAAGAAGGGTTTTGGGTTTTCCCTTTTCCCCATTGAAATTTTAATTTTTTTGGGGGGGGGGGGGGCTTTTCGTTTAAAATTTGGGGGCCCCCAGGGAAAAGGGGTTTTTATCGCGGAACCCTTTCCCCCCCCCTTTTCTGGTGGGGGGGGAAAAACCTTTTAAAAATTTTGTTTCCAAAAAAATGGGCAAAATTTATTTAGATTTTAAAAAAAAAAAGATTTTTCTTAAAAAATTAAAAAATTCTGCCAAACCAGGTTATTTGGAAAGGGAAAATTTTAAAACCCTTTGGTTTCCTAGGGATTATAAATAAAAAATTTTAAAAAATTATTAAAAAAAAATGGGTTTGGGAAAAAAATTTCAAAAACCCTTCTTGAAAAAAAAATTTTGTACATTTGAAAAAAAAAGAATTTTAAAAAAACCCCAAATCCCCCTTTCCTAGGTTTTTGATTTTTTTAACCCTTTTATAAAATTAAACCGAAAATTTATTTTTTTAATGTTAAGTGGGGTTACCCAATTTTGGGTTTTAAATTTTTTTGGTTTAGGGCCCTGGCCCTTTTAGGGCCCCACGGGGTTTTCAAATAAAAAAAAAAAATTCCCCCCGGGGAAAATTAGGACCAAATTTTAAAATTTAAAAGTAAAAAAAATTTTTAAGGAAAAACCAAAAAAGTTGGGGGGAATTTTTTCCCAAATTTGGGCCCCGGGAAAGAAAAAACTAATAAAAAATAAAAATTTTTGAAAAAAATTCTTTGTCGAACATCTATCTTGGGAATACAGAAAAACTTCAGATGTAATATTAGTTTAGAAATATATTTCAAAATATATTTCATAAATTTTTGAGAAAGTTAGTTATTTATACGATTTTTGAAAACAAAAAGGTAAATATTTACATATTCTCCAGGAGATGAGGTGTATTCCTACTAAAAGCTCCCGCAAACGCTATAATCAAAATCCAAGACCCTACAAATAAAAAAAAATCAATTTGTTTTTTAATCTTTGCCTTTACAAACACAATTTTCAAACTAGTCCGGGTACACTTTTCTGAATATTGTTATGCAAACAGCATATACGATAAAGTTTTATAGGGAATATACATATATTTTAAGAGTTTTTTTAGAGGTTACCTTCTGCTTTCTGATTGCTCTGAAGTAAAACAAATTTAATAGATGTTAAAGCGATGTCATGTAAATAACAACCGAATTGTCTTACAGAACAGAAATTAACACAACATACATTTGCAGTCTGTATGATCTCATAACAATTTAGGGTAAATATGTACAGGTAGTAAAGCAAAAACAAAAAACAACAAAAAAACTGACAAAATGTCGACAAGAAAGATTATTTTAGAGAAAAGATTACTGCCAAACGAACTTAACTGTAAGAAAATGTAACCCTTTATGCATAGGGTATAGAAAATGATATTTAAAATTGCTAAAAATAGTGGTTAAAATTTCAGACATTCTTGCTGGAATATTGCGTACATTTTGTTTGTTTGGGTAACGAACGGCATGATTCTCCCTCGTGGTATAAGCTACATTGAGTTTCTAAGCTGGACATGGTTAGGGTGCTGTTTGGAAAAGAAGTATATACAGTTGTTTTATTTTTGACAATTTTTTCCGCTTATATAAAAGATTTTATTTGTCGTTTAAATCGGGCGTTTCTTGGATACGAATTCATTTGTACTTTGTCTGGGTCTTGCAAGGATAACCATTCTGTCGGTGGCATTTTTGCATTTTAGTTGAAACTGAAGCTGGGATGTGAATATGAATGTATCTAGAAAGTTATTTTGTTCACTAATGCGAAAAACAAACATGACTAAACGAAGATAGTCGGCTAGATATACATGACAGTTTTACATTACACATCTATTACAACTCTTTTCAAAATGTCAACACTGATGACGGATTATGGTTTCATTTAATTGCGCCTAAACGAAAAAAACCAACACAATATTTGTTTTGCTAAAAGTTTTTTTTTTCAAAACGGAGGGGCAGTTTGAAGAAGATAATACGTGTAAAGGCATTTAGTACTCAGGGTCCTGCCATTCAGGTTGATGTTTCTAAAGTCAAATCTAAAATGCAAAACTTTACAACACAGTTTTAAGTTCTTCAAAAACAAAAACTTTTAAAAGCGAAAAGCCGTCAAAGGTCTGGCCAATGTCAGATTGCTGCAAGACTTTCTTGAAAAGAAAAAACCGTCATGCTTTGCGATTCTCGTCTTTAACCTGGCCCTGGTCCCTGTTGTTTTTCTTATGTTTCAAAGCTAAACTCCCCTTCCAGGTCGATCGAAAATTTGATCAGCGCTAACAAACGTTTTCATAAAACACCTTTTAGACTATAGAATGCCTAGAAAGACTGGATACAGAGACAGAAACCGATATATGTTAGAGGTGAATACTATTTGGGAACTAATTAAAAAATCAGTGAACACATTTTACAAGCTACGATTGATTTGTATTTGAACACCATTCGCAATTCTCGGCACCAGTTCTTTTATGATTATACTTCAACAGCAAAAAAAGTGTTTTAATTCAATTACCCGCGCATAAACTAGAACCATCTATATAACATTTGTCTCTACCTAGAAGTCTTCAACATATTACTCATAAATGTAATAAGGTAAATAGATTAATATAAATGTGAAAATATTCCAAAAACGTGAATGAGATTTAATGTATAAATACATAATTTGAATATATATAGTCGACATGAAAATACATAAATATTTATAACACGCCATATATTGAAAACTAATCTTAAATGTTATAATTCATTTCAAAATATATTCAATTAACTTTCGAGAAGGGTACTTATTGACATGATTTTTTTAAAATTAGTTTTTGTGATGGTAAGTTTTTACATCTTTCCAAGTTGTTGTTGCATATTTCCACTAAAGCTACCGCAGACGATATTACCCGACTCCAAGACCCTACAAATAAAAAACAAACGAAATCATATTTATTTAGAATAATGAAATAACATTTTCATTCTTCTCTTTACAAGCATAATTTTCAAAACAATCCGGGTAGTTATATTTTCCGAACATTGTTATGCAAGCACCAGAGTTGATAATTGTTTCTAGGAAATATACATTTATAACTGATAAATTGTTTATTGTGCTTATTTTGAGGAAACATTCTTGTCTTGTTTTCTCTGGAGTAAACAAATTGAAAAGGTGTCAAAGCAATTTCATTTAAAATGCGGCAGAATTTTCAGAAATGTTCAGAACATTACACATTGTACAATTGCAATCTGCATGATCTTGAGTTAAAATTAGTACACCTGTACATATGTATGTATCTGGAGACTAAGATGGATTCTTATTTGAACATTCTTTATATTGGGCGACACCGGCTACTTGTTTGATATTTACTTTAACGGCGAAAGATTATTTTTCTTTCAACAATTCAAACACAAACTAGTTTCATAAGAACATTTGGTTTTAATCGAAGTATCTACCTAGAAGACTTTAACATAATACTTACAAATGTAAAATGGTAATAAAATAGTATAATTGTGAGAACAATTTTCATAAAGTGAATGAGAATTAATGTATCTATCATTAATATTCATCTAGTCGACATTAGAGTACAGAAATACTTCAAACACGCCATGTATTTAATATATGCCTAACATGTCATGAATATATCCTAAAATATATTTGAATTATTTTTGAAAAGGTGAGTAACTGATACGATTTTTTAAATTCATTTTTGTGAAGGTGAGTATTTACCTAATAACCGGTAGGAGATGTATATGCCAGCTAAAGCTGCCGCGACAGCTGTTACCCAGATCCAAGACCCTACAAATAAGAAACTAAATCATATTCATTTACAATTTTATTTTTCTCTTCAAATGTTCAAATAATCCGGGTAAAGTTTCCCGAATACTGTTATGCAATCAATATATATGATAAATTTTTATTGGAAATTATCATAATGATAATTATTATTTAAATGACATATGATTTTGAGAGCTTATTTAGAGGGAGCATTCTGCTTTTGTTTTCTCTGACGGAAAACACATTTAAATTAGATGTTAGAAGATAACGGCTGAATTTTCTTATTGTTCGGAGCATTACACATTGTACACTTGCAGTCTGCATGATCCTATAAAACAAATGAGAATAAGTAGAAAGGTAGTACATATAGCACAGAACTGACAAAATGTTGCATTTTGAAAGAAAGATTATCTTAGAGTGAAGATTAATACCAAACCAGCCTATGTGAGGGAAATTGAAACCTTTTTATGTATATATGTAAAGAGTATAGAAAATGATATCAAATATTGACAAAATATAGTGGTTAAAATTTCCGAACATCCTGCTGGAATATTGACATTGTGCACATTGAAAATAGAATAATAATCCACCAAGAAATGTGTTGGGTTAAATTATCCGGACTCATCGTAATGTACTGATGATAATGTTTTCAGTATGGTATAAACCTGCATGAGCCTCACGAATATCAACAAACTCAGAATTAGAAAATCTAGCTGTATTGTATCGAAATATCAGGACTCTTTCTTTAAAATATTTACATTAATTATGCTGAATGTTAAAAAGATTGGGTTGATGGTCATAAATCAGAAGAACATGCTCAAAGGGGCGGTAAAGCGTGATATAGCTGTGCTGTTTGTTGGTCATTACCTGATTTGAGTATTAGCTAATTAAGTTTGAGTTTGAAAGGACCCTAAGCCGGACATGGTGGGAGTGCTGTTTTGAAATGAAGTTTATACAGTTGTTGTTTTATTTGGAGCATTTATTCCTATCATATTTTTTTTATTTGTGGGCGCCGTTTTTATATGAATTTCATTATGAACTTGGACTTGGAAGGATAGTACATGTAGTTGAAACTAAATCTGGGATATTTAACGTTTTTTTTTTTTGTTTTTTTTTTTGTTTTTTCTTTAATATTTATTTAATTTTTCAATTATGAATGAATCTAGAAGGTAATTTTGCTTTTTTATTGCGAAAAACAAACATGAGGAATTGCAGGTAACTAGGTACACATATATGATAGCTTTACCTTGATACCATATTCATTACAACTTATTCTATTTAGCTATGTTTAAAGTGTAATATGAAAATGATTGGTATAAAATCAGATTATGTCATTGAATTACAGATTTATATAAAAAATAGGCAAATGATGTACAGGCCTTTTATATGTAATATGGTACGTATAAAGACCAAATGATGCGTCAGTAAGTTATTCTTTGGGTTAACAAATTCAAATGTGGATTTATTTCGACTGAAGATATAAACCATGCCGTCGGCCTTAAACAGCTCATACCATTCCCAAACCGATTTGAATGAGGGTCTGCTTGATTGAATCCCCTTTCTTGATAGATAAGCAGAAAATGCTCACGTGTGCTTCGACAGTATCCAAATAACTATGCAAGTACTTTTGCAAATGTTCACTAATGACGAAACATAGGTTCTTTTTTATACATGTAAGCAACAATTAAAACAATTATTTGGCTACAAAGTTGTGCAAAAAATAGCAACCTGTTTAACAAAAAGGGCTATAAGTGTGAAGAACGTTATGAATTCTATTTTATTTACAACTCAGGGTCCAGCCATTCAGGATTGCTGTTTCTTCAGCAAATGCGAAATTTTACAGCAAAGGTTAGTAACTGATACGATTTTTAATTTATAATTTTGTGAAGGTATGTATTTACCTGTTAACCGGTAGGTGATGTATATTACAGCTAAAGCTGCCACAACCGCTGGAACCCAGATCAAAGACCCTTCAAATAATAAAACAACATCATATTCGTTTAGAAATAAAATAACAATTTCATTCTTCGCTCTACAAGCACATGTTCAAATTACCCGTGTATAATTTTCCGAATACTGTTATGCAAACAATAGAAATGGTAAAGTTTAGTGGAAATTAACATAATAATGTTATATCAATGACAGATGATTCAAGGAGCTTATTTAGAGGTTACATGCTGGAATTTTCTTCTCTGACATAAAACAAAGTCAAATAATTAATTAATTAATTAATTGATTAATTACGATTTCATGTAAAAATCGGCCGAATCTTCTTAAAGTACATACATTCAAACATTGTTTTAATCATTGTTGTATTTTGTATTGTATAATTTTGATGAATATTCAAGAAACGCAGGTTGATGGTAACAAACCTGTAGAACATATACAAGGGGCGACATAGTGTAATACTGTTTGTAAGAAAATGTTTGTGAATTCAGTATAGGCTATAATATTGAGTTTGAAAGGGTTCTAAGCTCTACATGTTGAGGGTGCTGTTTGGAAAAGAAGTTTATACAATTGTTGCTTTATCTTTACGATTACGCTTAGTAGATAATTATGCAAAAGCGAACAATTATTTCTAATGCAATAAATCAAGCTTATACTGGTTCCTGTAGAACATTTGGTTTTATCCAAGGTAATTACATGAAGTCTTCAGGTGATGCTGGGCCGTGTGGGGTTGCGTTCATTGAACACCGCCCTTTCCTGTCGGTCTTCTTTCATATTTAAAGATAATTTACAAATGTAATATTGTAATAAGATTATTTGTACAGCTTAAAAAATAAACAAATTTATCAAATATTATTTTTATACTCACTCCATTGGTTCGATGTCAGAAAATGTAATACATAAACCAAAAGTAGACACGTGCCTGAAACAGACATGTACAGATGAGATATTACATAAATCAGTTGTAAGAAATATAAATGTGTTTTTAAAAAGTGAATGAGAATTAATATATAAATACATCGTTTAAATATATCTTGTGGATAAAGAAATACTAAAAACACGTCATATATTTGATTTATACGCTTGAATTGTCATAGATATATTTCAAAATATATTTGATTTATTTTTGAGGTTGATTGATGGCACAAATTTTATACCTCCCTTCAAAGAAGTGGTGGTGTGTTCCTTTGTATTTGTGTCGGTTGCTCGGTCAGTCCGTAGACCAAATGATTTCCGCTCAATAACTAAAGAATGCTTAGGCCTACGAACTTCAAACTTAATATTGGGATTGGTCTTGGCCAATTAATGATCCATTATGATTTTTGGGTCAAGGGGTCAAAGGTGAAGGTTACAATGATTCTCATTGATTTAAGCATCAATGCCAAATTGACCGTGTAGGTAAAACAAGTTCTGATCAATTACTTGACAAAACATAGAATGTTGGCCCTCAAACGTTGTATGTTCATTAATCTTTGGCGTCAATGGATCAAAGGTTAAGAAGGTATAACAGTTACTGGTCAATAACTTGACAACCCATAGGCTGTTGGCCTTAAAACTTCATAGGTTCATTGGTCTTGGCAAGTAGATGACCCCTATTAATTTTTCAAGTGGTCAAGTCAAGGTCACATTGACATTGTAGCTAAAAATGCTTTTCTAGGTCACATTGACCTTGAAAGCAAAAACGGTTCCCGATCATTAACTTGACAACCATTGGTCGGTTGGCCCTCAAACGTGGTAGATGCATTGTTCTTGCATATCAGACAGGATTATCTACCGTTTACACCGGTGCTAGAAAGCTCTTTCTTACACACCCCATGTAAGACAAGTCGCGTGCTTTAAATGACGTCATTGACGCGCGCCATTTATGAATGAATTGCGTCTTTGGATGACGTCATTTTACCGTTATGAATGAAGTTGTAAGTTCATACGCTACTTTAAGAAAAAAGTGCGCAATGAGAATATCAGTTTTCATAATTTCTGTTCTGCAAACAATTGATATCTTATGCAAGAAAAAGAACCAAACACCGGCTGTCGGTACGCACGGGAATATCTAGCTCTCGGGTAACTGTTTAGCGGAAACTCGGCAGAGCCTCGTTACCACCGTTAACAGTTACCCTCGAGCTAGATATTCCGGTCTGTACCGGCAGCCAGTGTAAGATTCATATAGTATTAGCCAAAAGAGGATTGATTTCGGGGGTCAAGGAGTTAAGTTCACAATCAATACCTTTACAACCATGGGCTGTTGGCCCTTAAATTTGTAGGTGCATTGCTCTTGGCAAGTAAATGACCCCTATTAATTTTGGAATCAAGAGGTCAAAAGTCAAGGTCATCTTGACCTTGTAGGTAAAACGTTTTCTGATCACTAACTTGACAACTCATGAGTCCTTGGCTCTCAAACTGCATATCTGCATTGGTATTGGCAAATAGATGACCCATATAGATTTTGGGATAAAGAGGTCAAAGGTGAAGGTTACAATGATTCTCATTGATTTAAGCATCAATGCCAAATTGACCGTGTAGGTAAAACAAGTTCTGATCAATTACTTGACAAAACATAGAATGTTGGCCCTCAAACGTTGTATGTTCATTAATCTTTGGCGTCAATGGATCAAAGGTTAAGGTCAAACTCACATTGTAGGTAAAAACGGTTTCTGATCAATACCTTAACAACCCTTTAGTTGTTAGCCCTCAAACGTCGTAGGTGCATTGATATTGGCAAACAGATGACCACATTTGAATTTAAAGATATGGGGTATAAGGTATAACAGTTACTGGTCAATAACTTGACAACCCATAGGCTGTTGGCCTTAAAACTTCATAGGTTCATTGGTCTTGGCAAGTAGATGACCCCTATTAATTTTTCAAGTGGTCAAGTCAAGGTCACATTGACATTGTAGCTAAAAATGCTTTTCGATTAATAACTTGACAAGCCATCGGCTGTTGCCTCTCAAACTTCGAAGGCAAATAAGTGACCACTACTGAATTTAGGGTTAAGGGGTCAAGGGTATAGGTCTTATTGACTTTGTAGGTAACAAAGGTTTCCAGTCAATCACTTAACCACCAATTGGCCCCTGGCCCTCAAACGGCGAAGGTGCAGTGGTTTGGTCAGTAGATGACCCTTTGATTTTGCAGTCCGGGGGTCAAACATTAGGTCAAATTGACCATGTATGTCAAAACAGTTTCCTATCAATATCTTGATAACCCATGGACCATTGACTTTCGAATTTCACAAATGCATTGCTTTTTGTCACAAAATGACCTCAAGGGATTTTAGAGTCAACAGTTGGATGTCAAAATAACATTGACCTTATACGTAAAAAAGGTATTTGCCTTAAGTCGGTTGATATTTTATTAAACAATAGATGCTTTTGGTATACACATGTCAAGGTTGAATGTAATATAGTAAATTGGCTGTAATTAAGGAAGCCTACGTGATTCATAAAATTTATGCATATATATTTTGGTAAGATTTACGATAACTTTGGCATAAAATTGCTGCATACAACCTTTACGGTTACAATGACTAAGTGAAAAGTTATGACCAGCAGATAACCTTTATTGATTTTTGATCACTAGGTCAAAAGTCAGTCACTATAACCTGGCCACATCACTTATTGGCTGCCAATAGGGGCACTCATACAAACATATTTTGTTTAGATTCATTTTTGTGAATAGAAGGTAGGTAATTACAGGTGATGTTTATTCCCGCTGTAAGTAGCACAAACGCTATAATCCAGACGCAAGTTTCTACAAAAAGAAAATTTATTCAAAATTATGAAATAACATTTTCAACTTTCCCTTTACAAACACAATTTCCAAAAAAAAAATCCTTGTTCAATTTTCCGAATATTGTTACGCACACTTCAGATAAAGTTTTATAGAAAATGAACATATATAGATGACAATAATTATTGATTTAAAGGCTTATTTAGAGGTAACATTCTGTTTTTAAATTCGCTGGAGTAAAGCAAATCTTATTATTTGTTAATTTTAAAGGGATTTCATGTAAAACAAAAACGCCCGAATTTTCTTCAAGTACAGAAATTGACACAATATATACTATCAGTCTGCATGATTTTTCACAAAATGAGTAAACCTGTACAGGCAATTAAGCAAAATACATACAAAATGTCGGCTTTTGAAACAAAGATTATTTAAGGTAGTACACCCCTAATGGGCACTATAAGGAATTGTAAATTTGACAACATAGGACAGTTATATGCCTTAAATGTCACCTGTATGCAAAATTTAAACAAAATTTACCGTGTGGTTTATGAGTTATGGACATTTTTCTGAACTAAAACTTTGCCATTAGAAGGGATTTTTTTCAGAAATGAGGAAACTCTAAATAATCTATAATATCATCATTATGAAAAATGTTTTCCTTTTGCTCATTGTTAAGAAATAAACAATGACATATAGGTAACAAATTAAACAAGCAAAATGATTGTTTTTAAACGAAATGTTTTTAATATGTATAAAAATGTAACCCTACCCCACCCACTTTAAACACTAATTTGACCATTTCCCTATGTAAAAAGCTTTATTTAAAATATCCCTAAAATTTTCCAAAATGAGGGGCTATTTTCAAAGTTTGCCTAAATTTTCTTTAATGTATATTGCTTGGTCTTGCAAAATATAAAATACTTTTACCGTTTAGTTTTTATTTTATTAAACTTTGAAAATATCTGGTATCATATTTGCTATTAAATTTGGCATTATTTAGTAAATAAATACCTACAATAATTATATAATTAAAATAAAACACTTTTTTCTTCCATAGGTTAATAAAAAATGTAAAAAAGAAAAAAAAGAAAGAAAAAAAATTGCCCCTTCTGGGGTTTGAACCCACGCCCCCTCAGCTTCTATACACTTTACAGTGATTTTAGCCTATTTGGATACTCTTCAAAGTGGAGACAGTGCATTAGGGGTGTACTACCTTAAGAGTAAAGATTACAGCCTATGTATAGGATATAGAAAATGATATTAAAGATCCTGTACATGTATGTGGTAATTATGGATGTTACAACAGTGAAATTTTATATATGTATACAATAATTCTTCTGAAACAATTTCCAAACATCCAAGAATATGTTAAATATGTACTGCAAATGTTCATAAACAATACAAGTAATCATTTAAATATATGCATTCATTTCTAACTAAGACTTTTAAAAAAGATAAATTTCTAATTACATCTCTTTATCTACATGAAATGTAAATTACTTAATATTTTTACCAATAATGCTCTTTAACGATATTGATATATCTTCATTTGCGCATAATACTTGTGATACAAAACCATAAACATTCAGTTACAGGATCTTTAAACATGATAGAAATAAAGCGGTTACAATTTTAGAACATCCTGCTTGAATATTGTGTATATTGAATAAAGTAGAATAATCTACCCATGTTATTACCTAGGTTTGAATTATTCGTACCTGTCTTGGCACATCGTAATGTAGTGACTACAATTGTTTCAGTATGTTTATCTCCAAGTGTCTACCTGGAAGTCTTGTATAAAACACTCACAAATGTTATATTGTAATTTGATCAAATGCTTAACTAGAAAGTAACCGATTGTTTACAATGAAAATCTAATACTCACCCCATTGTCTTGCTCCTGATGCAAGAAAAAGTGATACAATAACCAAAAGTAGAAATGCGCCTGAAGTGGATAAAACATAGAGTAATAAATTTAATAAATTATGAGAAATATAAATGTGAGGCAATTTTAGAAAGTGAATGACAATCACTGTATGAATATATATTCCTTTATATCTAGTCAACATTAGAATATCTACAAAGATACATGTACTCCAAACACATCATTTATTTATTATATAATATATGTCTGAAATGTACGATTTATTTTTGACAACACGATTTTTGTTAACTCTTTTTTTTTGTGAATGTAAGTATTTACATTTTATCCAATCGGTGATGTATATTCCCACTAACGCTACCACAAAAGCTATTACACAAACCCAAGACCCTACAAATGAAAATATAAATCATAATTATTTCAAAATCATCAAATAACATATTCATTCATCCAGTTTAAAGCAAGATTTTCAAAATATACCGGGTACACTTTTCCGAATACCGGGTATTGTCATGCAAACAACAGATTTGATAAAGTTTTTTATATGAAATTTACATAGTAATCTTATATAAATGACAGACAATTTTAAGAGCTTATTTAAATTTACATTCTCATTTCGTTAATGGGTGTTAAAGCTATTTCATGTAAAAAATGGCCGGTTTTCTTGAAGTACAGAAATTTACACATTGTACACTTGCAGTTTGCATGATCCCATACAAAATTGAGAGTAAAACTGCACAGATTTGACAAAAGTGTACAGTAAAGATTATTAACAAACCGCCTTTTCTGAAAGAAAATGCAACCTTGTATGTATAGGTATAGAAAATGATGTTATATATTAATAATTTTATAGTAGTTACAATTTAGAACATCCAGCTTGAATATTCTGTACATTGAAAACAGAATAAGCATCCACCGCAGTCATTACCTAGGTTTAAACTATTCAGTCATTTGTACCTGTATGGACACATCGTAATGTAGTGATTACAAGTGTTTCAGTAATGCATTTCCATGCTTAGAATTTCCAGAATTAGAGAATATAGATATATTGTATCGAAATATCAGTAATCTTGCTTCAAATTGTCAAATTGTATGAACTTCTATGATCTTATAAGGCTAACAATATTGTAAATTGTTGATTTTTAGTTGACAATAAAGCTAGGATGTTTTATTTCATGTTTGTACAAAAATAACATTGACAATGTAGTAAGCAGATGGGTCATAATGCCTACACGATGTGGTGTATTTTCGTGTTGTTTTTTTTTTGCAATCAAGACAAATTTCTAAATGCAAAATATAATAACATAAGCCTGATGTTTACCTGTCAATATTGGCCCAGAATTTTGTTTGATGCCGGTCATCGCCAATAATTTCCAATGAATGCTAATGTACCAAAGGCAAAAAAATTGAAAGGTGATTTAACAGCTGAAGCGTTCCATTCCAATTCGATATGTTGTATTGTCTACATTCATTTGTTCTGTATAAGCAAACATTTTCGTATGATTTCATTACAGATTATAATTATTGTTTATATTGCGATATTTTACATGCATTGTTCAGGGTTTTCCAAACTATAATTTAAATATATGTTAACGGTTTATTAGTTATTACTAATATTTATTAAACCTTGTTATCTTGAAGTTACATCCCGAAACTTCAATAGATATCAGGTAATATTTTTCTGATAATGAAAGTATCAAAACACTTAATGTTGTATGTAACACTATAATAATTGATTAAACAAGTAAGATATTGTATAAGTATATATTTGTCTTATATTTCTTTCTGTATTATGCCAAATTCCATCATCCTTTAGTAAAGCATTATAACAACTTATTAATTAATTAATTAATCAATTCTTAAAAAAAACATTCTATAAAAGTGTCTTCACAATTTAGAGTGTTTCTAGTTTCTTTATAGCGTAACCTTAGCGTGATTGCAGAGAAGGCACAAGGCATCGGCAGATGATTCGAAAACATCGGGTGAAAAACAAACAAAGACCAGTATTAATACTTGCGGGACTAGTTGCAAGTGTCTGTTTTCTTTAATAAAAATAGCTTTTCCTGATCTCCAACATGCAACCGAGCTTAAAGGTTTAACTTGAGTGATAGTGCCATGTTTAAATATCAGATTCTATTTCAATTTTTTTTATTTACCTAATGAATAACAACGTGTCAATAAGCCAGTCTATAGTCTAAGGACGGAAACCAAATTTAGACAGGTAACCAGAGAGGTATAGGGTATAATTCATCGCTGTTCCGTTACTTACCGTTATTCATTTTTCAACCGATTGTTGACTACATGTCTTTAAGAGTCATTATAGATAGAACATCTGTAATGAACAACCAACACGAATAAGTGTAAACTTACATTTTTAAAGTAAAAAGGGATTGATTTGAAGAGTTTAATGCAGTGTTAAGTCTCAGTCGGAGCGCATTTGTGGACAGATTAGGCTAGGTTGATTATGTTAATATTTAACGCGAATCTGTCGCAACAGACAAATATTGATTTAATCAGAATATCAAGCATGATATTACTTTGTGAATTTATGCATAAGGTTCTAACTTTTTCACAAAAAATTACAACTTATTTAACGAACGAGCACATGCTAAGAACAATTGCTTAGTTCTTCGAATATTCAAGTGTAATAAATAATTGTCAACATTACATGTGACCGTTCACATCATTTGGGGGCGTATTTGACGTGCAGCATCAATATTTAACTTGTACATTTTATATTGCAGTATAATTTGATGCACGGTTACCATTCAAATGCTTTGTAATAAATCACCCGGGCATATCGACCTTCGCGTAAAAATTGAAGTATTTTTTCTAAATTAATTGTGTTTGCATAATGACTAATAAAAAGCGTTTGTTTCTAGGTAAACTATTTATTAGATTTATATGAGACGACATAAGCTTATGAAACAGAATTTGAATTCTAACGGAAACGTCATCAAATACATTTTCCATAAAGCTGCAAGACTAAACATTTAAAAAATTTATTCAAGGCTATGTTCGCTTTGCTAGCAAACATTGACTATTTTTTCCAAAATAATCAGGCAAATTTTCAGAATCAGTTATTTTAAATATGAAAATTATATTTAATTATTTATATCCTATTATCAAAGCAGACACATTTCTTTAAAAAAAAAAGTTTATTGTAAAACAAAACTGTTTTCAACGGATTGAAGAGTTTCTATTTTCTATAGACGTAAATGATAAAGAAGAATATTTTATGTTTAATTCTATAACTGAAGCCAAATTTATAGTTTCGTTATTGAAATAGTGTATTTTTAATCATATAGCGTATATATCTTCAAATGTTACCGATATTTTTTTATTTCATAATTACCTCTAAATTGTCTCATATATAAATCCATTTGTTGTCCTAGTTTGTTTTAACACTCTATCAGTGGATAGCGAGGAAATCCCCTATTATCTGCCGAACGTTTTTTTATTGCATTGCATGTTTTACAACGTACGTTAAATACAATGATAGCAGTCTTATAGTTTTTACTGTAAACAGAAAATCACAATATCAAGTCAGCTATGAGATAAAATATCTATCTGTATTCCAAAATGTATAAATGTATTTAATTATATTTTATTATATTCCATTTAAATCATGTAAATCAAAAATCTATTGCACACTGCATTGATCCGGTCGTTATATTTAAATAAAGTCTTTCGTTTAAAGTTGTTTGGATTGATTTGATAGCGTACATTATTGTATACATTCAAGGTCATACTGAAATGGTATTTTGGCAAACAGTTCTGCTAACCAAGTTGTTCTTTTATTTTTTTTTCTTCTTCCAAACTGAAATCTGATCCCCAAAGTTGCAACACCGTGAACTCATTGTATTGTTACATGTACTTGTATTCTTATTATAGTGTTGAAGCAATTAAGTTTAAGTCTATAAAAAGAAATCTTATTTAAGATATCAGCTATAATTTTTCGATTTTTGATGATTTTAAATTAAAATTGGTCTTTTGGTTTGAATATTTATATATCATGAGAAAACTAAAGAAAGTTTACTTGATTTTACTTATCTTTTTGGTAGTAAAATTTTGATTATTTAAATATATACTTGATATTATGTGCAATCAATATATGCAAAATCTTATCCCAATGCATTGTCAGTATTAACTCCCGACGGTATATATACCGCTAAAACAAACTATTCTACCGAGGTCCGGAGTGTCTGGTGTGCGTAATTAGTCATATCGGAGGGTGTCACAAAAAGCGACTAACTCCAGCACGATCATTGTAGAGACATATGGGAAAGCTCTTCATACGTATTTGTGCATTAAAGTTCACAAAAGTACTGAATATAAACTGAATATTATAATAAAAATAAAAAGTACATATCATTACAGCCCGATCATTACCCTCATTACATATGCTATGCATGAGCGAAGCACAGGAATATAATAATCTGGTCGTGCGTGATAGGGGACTTAGTAGTACCCAGGGCTCATTTAGACCTCACGTTTTCATAATACTAATATGCATAAGTTTTTTAATTAAAATCACTAGATTTATCTATTTGCCAAGTATTTCTAAATAAGAAATGTCTTGCAAATTAATATTTTTGTTCCAAAATATTATGAATATGTCTGTTTGTAAATAATGAAAATGTTTGGTCCCAAAATTGGTCACATCAACGTCAACGTTTGGTCACTCTGTCGTTACCTGCATGTCAAAGTCTACTTTATCAACGTCATCAATTCCTATTGCCCGAACACTTCATATGAACCGTGTCACGACAAAACCAACATTGTGCGTTTGCGACCAGCATGGATCCAGACCAGCACGCGCAGTCTGATCAGGATCCTTGCTGTTCGCTATCAGTTTCTCTACTTGTTATAGAGTTGGTAAGCGAACAGCATGGATCCTGATCAGACAACGCGGATGCGCAGGCTGGTCTGGATCCATGTTGGTTGCAAACCCACTATCATGACTATGTTGGTTTTGTCGTGACGCGGCTCATATGTAGTTATACTAGTAGTTTGCTCTTCTGTAACAGAACGCTGCATTGTGAAATACGAGGGAGATAATTGGTCTATATCACCGTCTGTTTTTATTCCAATTTTCAAAAAAATAAATACTAGATACCAATGCAATTTGAATTCATATATCAGAGGAACAAAAGAAATCAATTATTGTGCAGCACATTGATACCTTTCTTGTGTGTATGGGCCAATCATAGAGGTTGACCTTCAATAAATAATCTGACATGTTAATCTGTTAATTGTCGTTTAGGGGCACAATATTTAAAGAATTATAAAGGAACATAAAAATGTGAAAAGTATTTAGTATTTTCTGACTAGAATTATTATCTGAATAATCAGGCTTTTTAAGTTTTAATTCAGGCAGCATGATTGTATCTTAACTATGTTTAAAAATGACCTAGGTTAAAGTGTTAATCTATTTCACACTTGCCTGTCACGACATTTCACAATAAAATTTAACTACTTGCCCCTCACTGCTTGTAGGTGTAAAAGGCATTGTTTATGATGAAGATGGCAATCCAGTTGAAGGTGTAGAGCTTGCTATCAAAGGGAGGAAATCTGTTCTTTCAGGTCGAGGAACCGTGGTGAATACTTCAGGATACTTATGCCTGGCACACACACTATACTGGTAAATATCTGTCGGTTTTTAGTAATTGGTAATTCCTTTAATTAAATGAGCCGTGTCATGACAAAATCAACATAATGCTTTTGCGACCAGCATAGATCCAGACCAGCCTGCGCATCCGCGCAGTCTGATCAGGATCCATGCTGTTCGCTTACAAACGCATTAAGTTGGTTTTGTCATGGCGCGGCTCATTAATAATAAAATTGAAATATATGAAATTTGGTAATATGTGTCATAGGAAGAATGTCCAATGTGGGAAAGTTGAGTCATAAAATTGCTTAATTGTGAAAAAATATTTGATACCTTTTTCATACAAGCCGTAATTTTAAGACTCATTTCCGGGACACTTTTCATTTGGAGGTGGGGCATTGATCAGCAAACGTATTTTTTTAGAATTTACATAGTGGCATACAACCTATATTACCGGTATTTACAACGTGCAAATTTAATGACACCAGAAACAAAAGACAGAATGTCAATAATTATTAACAGTTTTTCGATTTGTTTTTAGTATTTAGGCATCATTAATTCAATCAGTCACAGAATAGAATAAAGCTATGTTAAGTAAAGACAATAAGCCTTGTCGTTTACCTGAAACATTCGCTGAATCTTGTAGATTTCATCACCTCATATTTAGCGGTAATTTTCACGGTGTTTGACCATTAATAACTGCCTCCAGGCGGATAAGATTTATACTGACCAGTTGTTAATTACAGTGTATGACACCTTCGCTCAGGAAGCCACAGGGGGTAAACAATTTATCTTTTAATTGATCCAAATTATTGCTGATAATTGTTTGTTGGAAGGGGCACTCGAAGGATAAGTGTCACCATTGCAATGCTGTAAGGGGAAAATCGTTCGTTTTTTTTTTTACCGGGACATTAATCATCTCCGGGACACCTGCGGGACAGACATCTTATTTCCGGGACTGTCCCAGACATCCTGGACGTTATGGCATGTATGCCTTTTTAAACCTTCTTTCAGGCTCTTCTGGCATTATATTTTGATTGGTGTGAACTATTTTTATTTCCTACCATGCGACACAAATATAAACAAAAAGATGTAACAAATACAATAAAGTTTGACAATAAAACGAGAGGAAAATCTGTATGTTTTTATTCTAGAATGACAGCATATTTGTCATTTCACATTAGTTATTGCTGTTCCATTTGATAATGTTTTTTTGAAAGATTGGGAAAAATAAGTGAATTAGCCTTTTGGTATGAGTCCTATTGTCTGACAGTATGCCCCATAATGGGTCTGGTAATCTTACCTGTGATGACAACATGTGAAGTTGGCCATCTGTGGTTAAGGTTGTCTTCTTTAAACTATGTGACCCTCACCATTGTGAGTTCAAATCCTGCCAGGGACTTTGAATTATTTCATGTGAGCTAGCTTAGGGAACGTTGGTGGTTTTACTCAGGTGCCTGTTTGTGCTGGATATAGTGCATGGAAGGGGGCCTAAGGTCTTCCTCTACCAGTAAAACCGGAAAGTTACAAATATGACCTATTCTGTGATGGTGTGACATACATGTAAAACCCAACCCAAAAATTAAATCCACAAAAAACATTGAAAAAGTATGTTGTATATAACATTTGGATAATATCTCATTTACCAAAGACGGTATTCTATTTAAATGCCTTTATGGTGGTTTTAATGGTTGGTAACTTACGAAGATATATAACTTAAGCCTAGAATTTTAATGAACTCTACCCTTTGTAAATGTGTACATGACTTTTGTTTTCCTACAAAGTACTAAGCAAAGTCAATGGTGGTGCTTGTAAAGTAGTTGGGACTGATGACGCTTTCTTTATAATTAAGAAAATTTATATGTAAAAGTAAATTAATAATACACAGCACATAAAAATATTCATTGCAATAATTCAACAAAAAATTTAAAGGCCCTCTGAAATGAATTAATTTTTTCCTTCTGCAAAAAGGACATATATATGTTTTTACATGTTGCAATGATAGATTTAGAACATGTGAGATGCTTATCATTACTTGAAAAAAAGTGAATGGGATATAATTTGTCATAAAGGTTGCAAAATATAAACAAAGTAGTAACGGTATTTTGAATTCCATACAAAATACTAAATTACCATAATTGTACTCTGCTAAAACGCAAAAGAAGCGAAAGATGTCTGAGCTGTGTGTGACAAATAAGTAAGTTTTTGGAAACGGTATCAGGACACCAAAAATAAAAAGTCTTTGAAAAATAAAAAATGATAGCATTTCTAAAGGCTTGAATCAGCTGTGCCTTTAAGAATATAAACTCTGATATATATATATCATATGTTTCAGGTCAAGTATGAAGGTTATGCTTCAGTGTCAGAGACTTTCAAAGTTGTAAATGGAGAAGTTACTCGACTTGATATTTTTCTGAAAAGGGAGACAAGTGATACCAGTAAAACAGTTTCCATATATAACTTCCCTTTGATTGTACCTCTCTTATTTAGCATTATGAGAGTGTTTTGATTTTTTTTTTTTATGCCTGTTTATTATAAGAAACAACATTCTAAGCTTCATTATTCAAAGAATAGGGAGAGTTACTGTACTTACCTTGGCATTGGCATCACCACCACTCTTTGGTTTTTTGCTTGTAAGTTGTTATCTCAAAAGATACTGAAGGGGAGGGTTAAAGTGTTTGTCCTTTGGCATACTGTACAATTTCTGCATAGCAACACCCTTTGAGAGAAAATTTTTTTGTTGTTGCTAAGATGTGTTGTAGAGATTTAAATAATTTGTGAAGTCATATATTGGGAATAGTTGATATTATTGTTGTTAAGAGGTGATTTTTTGTTCTACAGATGGCTACTCTGTAGGGCTTTCACTATATTTGTCTTTGTAAACACTGTGTGATTGTTGTGCACTAATGGTCAAACATAAATGTGTGTGTAATGTTCACATGATGTAACACTATGTATGTAATTACATTAGAATATAAATGTACGTGTTTCTTAGGCTAAGACAATAGTACATGTAGTAGCCGTGAATATATATTATGTACCTCTTTGTATTGATTATATTTTCTAATGATTTGTGTATAGTATTGTAGACTTTTTAGTATTTTGTAAAGTGTCAGTTTGAAATTTCAAGTGAAAGGATATATTTACATTAATGGTAATGATAATGATATTGTCTGTCTATTGTACGTATGTATTGTATTGTATTGTATGTTCTTTAAGTGACATTATGTTCATATTTTCGTTGTAAATCGCTGAATAACTATATATTTCAAAAGATTGACTGTTATAATGGTATTAAGCATCACCTTAGTGCAATAACTGATTAACTGCTTTTAAATTTAGAAGGACTTTTTCTGTTATTACACTAAGACAATGATTGCGGTAATTGACCACCAATAGTGAAAAATGTTGAAAAAGTATAAATCTGTCTATATGTATAATATGTAAAGACTGCCCCAATATTTATTATAAATGAAATCTATTAGGTAAATTTTGATTGATACTTCTAGAAATTTCTCTTTGTAACACAAGTTTTGTATCGTTAATGTGAAGCAAATTATAAAACTAAAAGGAATTATGGCAAAATGTAATTCAAAACTATTTGGACTTCCACCTGTTCACTCACGTTTTACCCTTGGATGGTCAAAATGTCACTTGAGACAGTGTCAAAGTTTAAACAACCAGTTTGTTTGCATAACATTTGTGATAAGATTTATAATGGTAACATATAACAGAGTCTGACATAACTAAGTGCATAATATGTAACTTAAACCTCAATATGTATTGAGTGTATCTTGTCTAATTCTATATCGGTTTTACTATGGAAAAGTAAATATTTTTTGTAACTCCTGCACACTATGATTCATATTTGAAATTTACTAAAAAGAAATAGAGAGAAAGAAACCAGTTATGTTTGACTTACTGGAACATAACTGTAAATGTGGCATATTTGAAGATGTAAATTATTTAAAACTGGGACCATTGAGGTCTGACTCAAAATTAAACAAAGAGCTATTATAATATTTATTACAGTTTCACTTACAGACAAAAACTGAAAACGTTAGTCTTTTGAGATATAGAAATTATTGAAAAAAGAATCATTAAAGTCTGACCAATATGAAAAAAAAATGAAAATTTTACAGCCTCAGTTTGATTAAGAATTTTTGTAGACATTAACCACACATAAATCATTGCTAAAAATAAGACAATATGTGTCCCCTTTTTGGTTAAAATTAAGGAAAATAAGATATCAGCAATTTTGTACAAGATTAGTTTTATGTCAGACTGACAGACAGACAGATAACTTTCATATTGTATGGGTTTGTCTGTCAGTCTGTCTGTACACAATAGGAAGTGGTTGTATCTCTCCCCCCCCCACGGCAGCAGATACCGTGTTATGAAAATTAATTGCATGTTCTAAAAATTAAAGTCTTCAAATTAAGTGGACTTAAACAATACAAAAAAAGTATTCATTTGTTTGGTAAACTCTAAGATGGAAGAGAAAATACTGTAACATTATAATTGTAATTATTTTTTAATACTTCATGGGGTGGGGTGTGCAGCTTAAAGTAAATTTTTCTGTTATTTACTGAAATGAATGTATAATAATTCTGTTTTTATATGTAGACATAATAAAATGTTACGGAGACATATACTATTCTTCAGTTTTAAGTAGGATTTTAACCGTTTAGCAATGATTTTTCATCAGGAAAATTACGAACAGCCAAGATATAACTTTATGAACTATGCTTAGATAAATACGATAAATACATGTACATATAATATTTTTGTCAAAACTAATTGTTAGATATGTTTATTGATGATTATCACCATAACTCAGGAAAATTATCTTAAGATCAAAGTTTAAGATTAAGATGAATAGTGTTGATAAGCTTTTCAATTTTGGTAGTAGCCCATATACGCTGTTTCCAGTTATTTTTATGAATGTTTCCAATAATTCCATAATTGAACAGCTAGTTTTTTGCCATTTATTTCTATCAACCTACAATTAACACATGCAGATGTGATGACTTTTTGTTTCTAGTATACAAGAAATTGACAGTCAACGGTATCTTTGTCCTATCATTTGTAAGAAGAACTTAGTTTTCTCTAATTTAGATGGAATTTAAACGCTTGTTATTAATCAGATGATGATGATGATGATCATACTTTGTTGATTAAAATATAATTTTAAATATCAAAAGATGTGACGTTTGCTATATTTTGTGAATTTCCTGTTTTGCATGAAAATAAAAAAATCAAAGTTTTTTATTATGTGTTTTCTACAATTTTTATCACCTCTGAAAGCTGTAAGATATTTATTTGCCGTGTTCCTTTCTTCCGTTGACCTTACGTTCATACGTCACAAGTTTGGGCATTAAACTTAAACTGTATCAGCTCTATTTGTGGTTAAATCACATTGTGAAAAGAGCAGTGTTCACAAATCTTTGACAACAAATCAAAACTTTTGCACATTTGAAGAGTGTTGCCCTTCGAAATTGTTCATACCTAAATTTTCTTCGGGGCTTATTTCAACGGAAGAAAGACCTGAGATAGTACTAAAATTTCACAAATGGATAGCTCTTATTTAGGAGACGTGCATTTCATAATATAAAAGTATGTTTTTTAGCAATTGTCTTGATAATGTTTTATACATTTACTTTTTCTGAGGCATATCTAAAATGGTTTTGGATGTATCAATTTCAAACTCCACAAATGGATTACCAATAACAAATGTTTATCGTTAACGATTTTAAAACATTTACATTTTATAATCACAGTTTTTTATATTTGTTTGGTCCTTCATGATCATTGATACAAATATTTAAAGTGTTGAAGACTATGTACTCCGTAAGGATGTACTCAGCTACGGGCTTGACATACACTGCACATCCGAATATACACATACACTGAGCCTGCGATTTGCATATGTTTAGTTTTCGTTCTCATAGTTGTCGAAGGATATCCCTATCCCAGATTGTTCTACAAAGTAAGGGTCCGTTTGTTGTATTGCCTCTAAACACTTTGACAAATTTTTGGTTCTCCTTGTCGAGGCTTTAAGTATGTGTAGAACTGTCTCGCCTTTCTTCGTCATCATACGCACATCTACTTGCCGCATCTTCAATAGTTCGACGATGATATCATAATTTGCTGTTTTGCATGCAAGGTGAAGAGGGGTGTATCCGCGTTTGTCTGGTAGATTGACGATAACTTGCTGCCGATTACTCAGTAGCTGGACAATCTCCAAATCGTCTTTGTAAACAGCCGCATTTAATGGTGTATACCCATTTTTCTCAAATACATTTGGATCTGCAACATCGAGAAGCAACTGAACGAGTGCAGTTTTTCCATATACTGCTGCAAGATAAAGGGCCGTCCTTCCATATTTATCTTTCATGTTAGGGTCAACACCAACCTCTTTCAGAACTCGCAATATGCTTTGGTTATCTTTAACTACAGCTATATGATACAAAGACATGCCTTTTGAAATGGGCTTAAAATTATGAGACATTGTGAAGCTCCGGAAGAAATGTCCTTTTCAATAATTTCTTTCAATATTTTGGAATGTCCAAGAACAGCCGCTGATTGACACGGATAGTCATTTTTATGGTCGCGTTTATTGACATCTGCCCCATTGTTAAGTAATAGTTGCACTAAATCGTTACGCCCCATGTCTGCTGCAATGTTCAATGGTGTTCGCTGAAACTTTCCACCTTTTACATTCACAGCCGCGCCATGGTTTAAAAGCACGCGGCACATTTCCACTTGGTTCCATATCACAGCTTTGTCAAGAGCAGATACATTATTCTTGTTTCTATAATTGACATCAACACCACTCCTGAGCAGGCATTCAGCAAGGTCGACAGAACCTCTTTTAGCTGCTGTGATTAATGGACTATTTCCATGTTGAATATGTGAAGGGAAATCATATCCGTTCTGGTTCTGTAACAAAAAGTCTAACAGTTCTAAATCTTCATTGACCGTTGCTATTTGTAAGACATCTTCATTTGCTCCCATACCATGAAGAACTAGTTTCTGTACTAAACCTTTGTTTCTATCTCTCGTAGCTAGCAGCAAAGATATATATTTTTCATTTTCATTCAGAACTGACTTGTTTAGACATTCTTGAACCAAAAGTTCATTTTTCTTTGCCAAAAGGATAGATGGCAGACACATTCCCATTTCATGTCGTTCAACCTTGATGCAAGTTTTAATCTTCAATATTTCAAATGCGTAGACTAGTGAATTATTTACACGTTTGTCCTTTTCTCCTTTCACCCAGTTTTCGACAAATTTTTTAATGAAATCCTTATTGTAGAATGCGTCATGTTTAAGTACTGAATTGTTCATTAGGAAGTGTGAGCATATTCTTGTGTTACCGATCCCGCCATATTTCACGCGAGGTTTAATAAAGAAATCATTGTCAAATGGGAAGTCTTGTGTATCATCTTCTGCCATATGTAACAATTGGTTAAACTTCTCAATGAGCCCATTGAATTGGTACTCTTCAATATAAATGATCAGGTCGTCTTTGAAACAAGGTAGGGTGGTCTTGACGTATTTCATTACGAAATCTTTAGATGCATGCTTTATAATGGTATCAGCATATTCTCTGGCACAAACAATTCCGACTACATCACTAATCACACTATGACTGAACGAGTATTCACCTGTTTTAGTACTAAACACTAGGAATTCGTCCCTATGGCTATCCAAGCATTTCTTTATTTCTTTTGCCTTCTTATGAAATGGATACCCGAATTCTTCTTCTAGCTTCTGTAATTGTTTTCTGTTATCACCAATATTGAAATTGTTTATCGCAAGTTTTTCTGGTGTCTTCAACCAAACAAGAACCAATGGTATAAATTCGTCTTCATCCTTGGAAATATCTTGAATAAATTTCTGAAAAAACTCAAGAGGGGAGGAAAAGAATTCAATATCTTTGGCGAACAAATGTCTGATGATGCAAACATGGACGCGCATTCTGGAAATCCAACAGTGAGAACTTTGTTTGATGTCCTGGTGACCCTTTCCCACTGTGTTTCAATGGATTCATGCATGTATGAATTCGTTTCAATTTTCCTTTTGTTTTTCATAAGATGTGCTTTCAGAATTTAATACTTCTCCTCTGGGGTTAATCTGGAAGAAAATAGAATGGTGACATTTTTCCCATTGAACATATCAGCTCGATCGTGCAGTTTTACTTTTGCTTCTTGCATTATATAATGGCGAGTAGTTATCACAAATGACAACTTTCTTTGATTGGCTGCATTACGTATGTCAATAAGGAAAACTTCCCACTTTTTTAACAGATTTTCGTCCAGTACAGCATTTCCAAATATATCGTCAATCAACACAGCAGTGTAAACATCAAAATCTACTAATCTTCAATCATCTAAAATCTAAAATGTATCAGTCCAATGATAAGAAACACATTTAGGTACAATAAATAAATTAATTATATCTATAGACAAAGGCAATTTCGTGTTGTGAGGATAGTCTATATACCCTTAAAAGTATCATTTATTTGGTTCAGTTCGTTCTTCATGCATTATTTCACTTAGGGATCTTACAGCGCTTTATGTGGAATAGACCATTTAAGGTTCAATATTCGATGCCGTTTGAACTGTGGATTCATTTTACCATTTACATGTTTAAAATGGCTAGTTCTGCTTAAGCTGGTATATAGGAGGAGCGAACATTAGCTTGTACCTACCCTACCGTCCCTTAACAGAGATTGCATCATTCACAATTTTGCCGTTTTTGGACGATCTTTAGGATTACATTTTTCTTAGACAAGAAGTATTATTAGGAAGGACAATAGATCATTCAATTTGTTGTAGATGTCATAATTAAATATCTAAGAGACTAATCTTTCAAAACAAGAATGATATCGTAATCACACAAATAACACGACCACTCTTCACATATATGTATATTTTAAAAAAGATATTTCAAGAAAGCCATACCATGAAGATTTTTCTGTCCAGGTGTCATCCTCAAACTGAAGTGTTCTGAAACTTAAAAGTAGATTTCTATTAATCAGTATCGCGTATTTCATCATGCAGATGCTTGATTCTGCATCTACACCTATCAAGACAAATATAAAGATGTACAGCAAAATTGACCCAAGATGCTTTGTAATACATTATTTTATGACGGGAAGTTCCGTATGAATCCAGGCTGCAATTATAAATGGTACATTTATCGTAAGCCAGTTGTCACTGTTATTCTACTATTTATGTTAATATTTTGATCTTAAAAATCTACATGCCAGAGCGTCTTGGGGTGGCTTTACCCCATCCCCGAATGAACCGCGTCTGATAACTACACGAACGCGTTATTAGCATGAGCATGGATTTTTATGACTTTATCTGTTTTTATAAATTCATATTACACTCGTGAAGTGGAGCTACAACAATGTGAATCACTTGATAGTATAACTTACTGTTTTTGGGAATACTTTTAACATGCTTTATAACTTCATCATGTTTATCCGACATTTCTGCCAATTGTTGTCTGTTCTCTACGGAGATGGTCTTAAAGTTTGCACTAAGATCTTTTAACTCGTTTGCCATGATTTCTATATCTCTAGTTTGTGCACTGTCCATCTGCTGCCATCTATCTATCTCTTGCTGGTAGCGTTTTTCGGCTTCCTCATCCAATGGGGCTGTTTTCATATTGTCTAGTTCTAATTGAAGATTTGGTACACCGTTTTGAAGATGAGTATTAAGCCTTATCAGAACCTGTAAGTAGCATTAGAATAATGATAAAGTTATCGGGTACTGTTCGCGTTTGTCGGGTACTGTTGCAACATTTTCAATTTTGCCGTTTTGGGCTTTCTTTAGTGATTCTTAGTGATTCTTATTTTCTCCATTCTATGAGATGTCGGTTGCACAGCAATGTCTATGTCTATTGTGAAGCATTATTATATCACAGTTGAATGAGTTAATATAATATATTGCTATGTACGAAAGCCGAATTGTTTTGGAAGTAATTATTATAATCATTTTGTAACAAAATTGACTTTTACGAGACTACTTTCTTGTAATAATGAGAAATAATTTGTACTTGTTTCAGTTTTTTATTTGTTTATCTGTTTTTGTTATCATTCAAGTCACACTATGCCGCTATCTTAGCTTTATGGAATTATAGAAAAGTTGTTCATTTAAAGCCAGGTCCCGTTGCACACATAAACAATGCAAGCCTCACACTCAACTCAAGGATCTTCACTGTTTTATTTTGTATTTTAATGTTCATAATCTGCTTAAAATGATATGCTGAATGAAATAATCTATCATGTATCATATTGTTGTTTGTTGATGATTTAACTAGTATTTATGATATTTTTGTTTAAGTATTATAATATTGCTATTATTTACAATGATAATGATCATACCTGCACTATGTCTGTCCATTTCGTGTTGAAGTCGTTTTCTGTTAATGCAGATGTTGAAGATGTATGAGCAAACTGGAAAAATCCCTTTTTATTTGAATTTAATGCAATACATTTGTCTTATAAAATATTAATTATATTTACTTTCCCTAAGCTATTAAGTGTTTTTAAACTGTTCATTCATTTGAAAGTTGGGGCGTCCGTGGCCGATTGGTTAAGGTCGTTAACTTCAAACCACTTGCCCCTCACCGCTGTGGGTTCGAATCCCGACAGGGACTTTGGATTCTTTCATGTGGGGAAGCTAGCCAGCTAGCTCACGGAACGTCGGTAGTTCTACTTAGGTGCCCGTTCGTGCCTGAAATAATGCACGGAAGGGCACCTGAAGTCTTCCTCCACCAGGAAAGCTGGAACGTCGTCAAATGACCTATACTGTGTGACGTAAAACCCAATCAAAAATCATTTGAAAGTTACATTGTATTCGTCAGTTTAAGTACACAAGTGAATTATAAAGTTTATACTAAAGTCTTGTATCAAATGAAATTTTGGGGTTTTACCTCATTACGATATGCCTTGAAACGCACTAGGTCTGCTTCAATGGAGGTATCAGTCGGTGCTGGCGGTGCTGACCAGCATGGGTCGTTGCTTTTTTGCAACCCACAAATATTCCTTAGTAAACAAGATAGCAAGGAAATATAAAAAATTGCTGATGTCGGGGCATTGGATGACAGCAAAACATATTGTTGTTTGTTGATGATGTTTCTCTATGACAGCTTCTTTAAGATTTTCTGGTGTTGCTTCAGACATGCTGCCAGAGGAGATGTTTTCTCGTCAAAGATTTTTCTGAGAACCATTGTCCCTCGTCGACCAGTATGACTTGAATCCGCAAGTAGTACATCTTTTTTCCTGAGTTCATTTTTGTTAAAGATCTGTCATTCGAATGAAACCAATCTTGCATAAAATGATGTTTTTGATTGAATCCACCCTGAATAATAAAATATGTAAATCGTGTTCATTGTTCCTTGTGACCTCACATTGAAATACTCATCCTTGAAGAATAACAACAATTATATAAATAATTTATAGCATGAAGCTGTTTATATCCTTTTAAAAGTGTAAGCCACCAAGCTTACAAGGCTGACTTTTAAGGGTTTTTAGCTAGTGTGAAAACTAATAATAAGAAACACCATTAACGTTTAAATAATCTCTTCTGTATTGATGAAGATAACAAATTCAAGTTTATATCATCAAATATAATAATAAATTAT